AATTTTTCTTTTTATTGTAGGGTGGATGTATGGAGGGGACGATGTGAACTGGTGTATGGAAAATTTGGACCTAATTCAATGAATAAACAGGTGATCTTATAGTTTATATGTACAAAGTTGATTTTTTTTTTTTTGTATTTATGGTTTCACTATTTTCACCACTAATCAATTTTTATAATCAAAAAGTTTGGTTTCAACTTTTGAGAAGGTAATCATCGATGGTTTGGTATGTTTCTTTTTGTTGTAAAAAGATGAGGTACCTCCCGATTTTGTTGAGGTACATGTTCTTATTATTTTCAAATATGTCTTTTCTCAGAAGAAACACTCAACTTTTGATAACACAGTTGTCACAAAGTCAGAAAGATGACTTATTTCAGGGATGAATCTTCAGAGGAGGCTAATTTTTGTCGTTAATACAATTTAAGTATTCCTCTCTTTAGATTAGGGATAACAAACTTGGCTGTTAAATTCAGGAATTACTCTTCGTTGCCAATCTCTCTCCCCAAACTAATATATTACATATATGGAAGTAGTAACTTAAAGTTTTTGGTATCGAGGTCATTCTAAGGCACTGAGATTCGGACTTTGGTATGTATAGGATTCGTTTTCCATGCACTAAGATTTAATTATTGTTTAATTTATTGGTTTTTAGGTTTCTTTCCATGCTCTGATGCGTTTTCGGGTGTGCCAATGGAAGCTTGCATCACTCTTTACTCCAAGCGTAAGTATGCTCTGCATTAGCTTCTTCTGTTCCATTGGTTATTATGGGTTTTGACTTTTGAGAAATATACAACAATTTAAAACCAGGTTTTGTTGTTGATTGGTTCGGTTTGTATACCATATTTTGCTAAATACATATGACCATAAATAAGACCAAAGGAGCTGGGTTAGCTCCTTTGCCAGCTAGGTTGACTTCGTCTCCTCCCCGTCTTGCGGATTTCCGTTATTCAACGGGTATATTTGAGAAGTATACGGTACTAAAACCACAACCATTGATCTTAGCTTGATCGGTTCTTCCCTAGGATTTATACATAAAAGTAAATTGTTTTGTTTAATAATTTTCCATTGCATGAACTTTCGAGACAACAAGTGGACAGGAGTGTAATGTCATCAAAAGTCAAATCAAATACTGTGAGGAACATATTAGACAACGTTGGCTTCTTTCGCAGCTGCTCAACGTTGTCTCTCCCGATGGTCCCAACACTCTCTTCTTCTTTTTTTGTCAACATTCAAACGTTGTTTAAAATAAATAAAAATGTTTAACCTTAATCATCTTTCTAGATCTTTAAATGCCTAAAATTCACCTTAATCAGTCAGCAATCCGTCACGTTAATGATTTTGAAAGGAAGACTTTTGTTTTGTTTCGGTTAGTTTTGTTTGTTTAGTATTTTAATCACAAGATAACTCTAATTTCCCATTAGAGTTGTGTTAATTGTGTTGATTATGATTTGGCGTTCCAATTCTGATATTATTTTTATGTTGTAAATCTTAAACTGTTACGTTATTGTTCTATCTTCCTATGTGAGAAAAAAGTAAAATGTTTTAAAATTTTGACATGGATAATAATATAATTGTAAATCTATAATAATTATATTATCATTTTATTTATATTTTTCAAAAAGAAATATATTTATCTTAATAGATTTAATATGATAATGTCAAATATAGTTATAAATCTAAAAGAGTTATGTTATTATCCCATCCTTTTATGAGAAAAAAGCAGATATTCTCTTAAACTTTTAAATTAACGTGGATAATAATAAATAAATAATAATTTTACTAATATGATAATGATTCGGTTTTAATCTTACCAAAAAACAAATAATGATTCTGTTTTAAAAATATATAAATTTTCTTTGTTTAGTTGTAGATATTGTCATATAAAAAATTCTTAGATCCTCCACTGCCTTAATTTTATGTAAATACCTTGCTTGATATTTAATTTTGATTTGATATCATAACTAATCCTTGCTTTTTTTTTCGGCACTAACCATTGAATTTTTTATACTGCCATTTAATTCTTGCATAAAAAATAATAATTAATAGTAGTGTTTATTATGAATGCAGGTTTGTTTTCCATAAAAACTAGATTGGATTTATGGAAGCACGTCATTGTTTCCAGTGCGAGGAAACAAATGTCGTATCACTGCTGTTGTGGCTCTTTAGTACTTTCGTTTCTGTTTATGGCTTTGCTTCGGTTGTATGGTTAGTCATCAATCATTGATCTTCTCATTGTTTGAATATTGTTGCATAGGAAAAATCTTCCTTTTTTATGAATCTTTCAAAAGTTGGGTCCATGATATTCTCAGTGATTGATTATGTTTATTGAATATTTGTGTGCTTCCTCTGCTGATATTCTAATTCATGCTTTATTCGTCGTCTTTGATACACTCTGATTAACCATTGTGCACCTCTAGAGTCTAATTTGCAATATTAATGCAAGTCTCTTTAACTTACGGATTATGAAGAGCATCCTAAGATCGTTTAATTTGATTCAGGCTTTATGTGGCTAATGTTTGGTCTTGGATGTGAATTAGTCTATCATGTTTCTTGGAAGGTAGGAAGGAATCTTGATGTTTACCAAAATCCAATGTGCTCTTTTGTAGCTCAGTTTGAAATATGTACTAATTATTGTAGAGGGAACCCGAAACAAAGAGACCATATGTATGATTTTATATGCGAAGAGAAGCTCCGAATTTGAAATCGTCTCCACTCCGGTGATATGTGGCCATGGTGTGAAGGAGTCTGGAGCCATGGTTATTTCAGATTCGGACATAACCGTAATTGTTAAACTAATAAAAATAAGATCAAACGTACCGGATTGATGAGAATTTTTGGTGTTCTTCGTCATGTTCTTCGTCGTATGGATCTAACAAAACAAAAAAAATATATATACCCCAGAATTTTTTTTTGTTTGTTAATAGAGAGAACCCACCAATTTTGTAGCGTTGATTGTGACATCGAATTGTTTGTCGGATGAATATAAGTCTCTAATCCGGAGACTGAAAATGAACCCTAACAAAAACATATATTCATAGCATAAAATTCATAAATAAAAGGTAGAACATCACATAGCTTTTTCTTCAAAGCCAACACATCTCTCTTTGTAGCCGAATTACTCTCCAGTTTGGTATATACTCAAATTTTCCAATGACTTCCTTCTCGAACCTGGAGCGTTTTTGCTTTGCCGGATATTTTTAGGATATGGCTCTTATGTATCTCTTGTGAGTCACTTGATATGTTGTTTAGGTAAAACTTTTGGTTTGAAAGAGAATGATCTACGACAAGCATAATCGGTTATTTGTTATATATGTGGCCATGTTCATATTGCTCTCTCCACAAGCAATTTTCCAGTTTTGTAGCATTCGATATTTAAATTTAAAAGCTTCAATACGTTGTATACATGTGTATGTATGTACATATATGAATTATTCTCAGTTGCACATAGTGGTTTCTAAGGGATAGATACTTGCTCTCTGTAATCCTCTCATTTTTAGTACCTATCTTCAGTGTTTACTTTGCTAAGAGCTTCTTGATAGGCATACATCTTTGCAATCTCAGATCAATATACTACAAATACATATACGATACAGTTAAGAAAATGATATTTCTCTTACAACTTTTTATATGGGTTTTATAAACAAGAGATCAACTGAAGGGTTACGCAGCGACCAATGGCGAAGGTAGAGACAAAGATACTACAATAGGGACGATAAATATGACACGATATATACAAAAGAGATGCCTGTTTCTATACCATTGAAATTTTACGTACATAACTACTTCAAAGAGCAAGATGACTTACTTGATAGGTAAGAGATATGGTAAGAGATTACATTTTTCAATTATTTGTTTCCAACTACGAAAAACTCCAGTGACATACAATCTAAAAGCATGAATATGTCATAAAATCAAGAATACAACAAAAACCAGGAAGATGGGCCCAAATTAAAGTCCGAAACTGGACGTGGGGAACCCACAGACAGTGGCGGTCGGAGCATTACAAATATGAAAGAAACGAGGAAGCGTGAATATGTCATAAAACCAAGAGTACTACAAAACCAAGAAGATGTGCTCAAAGAACGAAACTGGACGTGGGAACCCACAGACAGTGGCGGTCGTGGCATTACAAATATGAAAGAAACGAGTAAGCATGAATATGTCATAAAATCAAGAGTACGACAAAACAAAGAAGATGGGCCTAAAGACCGAAACTGGACGTGGGGAGCCCACAGACAGTGGCGGTCGGGGCGTTGCTAATATGAAAGAAACGAGTAAGCATGAATATGTCATAAAATCAAGAGTACGACAAAACAAAGAAGATGGGCCTAAAGACCGAGACTGGACGTGGGAACCCATGGACAGTGGCGGTCGGGACGTTGCTAATATATTGTTGGTTTAAATATATAGATTTTTTATATTTAATTCTATTATATATATCAAGATATAAACACTATAATTGTTTGTGATTCAAAAACACTATTAATTGTTGATTACTAATAATATATATCAAAAGTTATAGCGTTTTACCATAATTCTATATTAATGTCGTTATAAAAATTAGACTCTTGACAAAATTAATTCAATAAATATCCCTAACTTGATAACCCTAAATATTAATTATTAATTCTGGTCTTAATCAACATACAACCCCGCGCTGGGCGCGGGGACCTCCCCTAGTACTTATATATATGCAATACACATGTTTATATATGTATATAGATAATTAGAATCTACTCTTAACACTTAAGAGTGAAATAGTCATCTTTGTTATTTTGGATTGGATTTAGTATTTAAATGTCATGTTTGATGTTCTATTCTCTTTATTTGATCATTTGAGTATGTAAAGTGATTTTAAACTTCGGGTATTACCCAAACCGACCCGAACCCGACAATACCCGAACCGGACCGGAACCAAAATCATAGAAATATCCGAATGGACCATAAATTCATTACCCATTCAATCCGAACCCGAACGGGTTTTACCCGAACCCGAACGGGTTACCCATATGCCCAGGCCTAGATATAATGAAGAACTTGAAGCGTGATAAGGGTGAAGATGCTGTTAAAGGTCAAGCGGTGAAGAATCAGAAGGTGCGACCTTGTTCTACGGTTTGTGAAGTAGCCTTACTAGAAATCAGTTGCAGTTGTATATTCCTATTTTATGTTAATGAAGTTAATCTAGAGGTAATTTTTGTGCTCTATGTGAAGGCTCTTTGGGATAAAACTCTGGAGTTCAGATTCTTACTTCAGAAAGCATTTGATCGTTCTAACAGATTGCCACAGGTAAGCTATGCTCTTCTCCTCTTCTATTTATTGTTGTTTGCTTCATCATGCTTATGACACAAGGTAGTCCTTTTCAGGAGCCTGTGAAATCGTATTTTTGTTCGGAAGATGAGGATGTCTCAACAGCATATACAGATCTAGTTACTTCATCTAAGAAGACATTAGATTTCCCTCTTGGAGTTGCAAGAGGTATGTATGCATAGGCTTGATTCAGTAACTGTATACTGTCTCTTAGTGTTTTGTCTCTCTGCCACCTTTGTTTACTCTTATTATCCAAATATTGATTTCTGCAGGCTTTGTTTGAGAAGAACCCCTCGGTTGATCAACAAGTGAATGGTATGCCATATTTAACAGAAAACAGAATTATTATAACTATAAGCGAGGGTCAATATAACATCTCTTTTTTTCTTTTTTTTTTTCTATCTGGTCAGGAACAGCTAGTGCAGAATCCAATAAATCAGATGCAGAAGATAGCGATGAATGGCAGCGAATATCTGACTTGCAGAAAAGGTATTGTTCTGCTTAAACTTCTGTCCAAGCAAAAAAATTCTGTTTAGTAAAAACATGACTGACTTCATTTGGAGACCAGTCCCAATAACCATTTATGTTTCATTGTTAACACAAAATTGGTCTTTGCTATGTAGAATGTCTGTGTTCCGAAACAAGGCTGTGGACAAATGGCAGAGAAGAACACAAGTTACAACTGGTGCAGCTGCTATTAAAGGAAAGCTCCACGCCTTTAACCAGGTATAGACAACAAACCCCGAAGATGATTTTCCTCTTATACAGCTGGGTATGAATCAGGAATCTAACTTTGAATTAATTTTCAAAACCAGAACGTTAGTGAACAGGTTGCTTCCTACATGAGGGATCCAAGTAGAATGATTAAACAAATGCAACAATCAAGATCTACTGTTGCTGTTTTTGGAATTGTAAGTTTTGGCTTTAATAATAAAAGCTTAAAGCATCTAAGGTGGCCTTGGTGGTCAATACATCAGCTTCTCTACAGTTTGTTCTGACTTTAAAATTTACACATCCACAGGTCCCTCGGGAGGCCATAGAACCAATTCCAGAGGTATAATCACGGTTTTCTCTAACCAAGCTAGAGAGTACCAAATCATTTTACGTATCAGTCTTATTGTGATTATCTTGATGCCCATTCTCTAACATGTGTGTACTCTTTCTTGTTCAGGAAAAACAACAGGAAGGAGACCCTGAACTTGTGGAAGATGCTGAGTTCTATAGGCAGTTACTAAAGGAGTTTCTTGAGACCATCGATCCAGCTTCCCCTAGCGATAATCAAGTGTTTTTTTTTGCTTGTGTTGAAAATCAAGTGTAAAGAGTCTTATGGTATTCTGAAATCTCAATCTTTTGCCACTGGCAGAGGCGGCTTTCTACGAGATGAAGAAGTTTCAGACGAAGAAGAGGAAAATTGTGGATCGACGTGCCTCTAAGAGCAGAAAGATCAGGTAAATAAAACTCACATAGTTTCAACTCTTGGAGGTCTAATTCTCTCTTTTGAAACATGCCTTGTAAAAAAACGAAACAGGTATAATGTTCATGAGAAGATTGTCAACTTCATGGCTCCACGACCAGCAAAGATTCCTCCAAACACTGCGGATTTGCTCAAGAATCTCTTCGGTCTCAAGACCAGAAACGTTCAGTCTGAAGCGTAATACAAACCGCAATTTTGAAACGCAGCAATAGAGATCTACTTTATTTTTGTGTGTTGTAATACTGTCGACATCGTTTCTTATTGAAAGCCAGATTTGAAAAGCAACGAGTTATTACGTCCTCGTCTTCAACATTTATAGTCACTTTGAACTTTGAACTTGTGTACAAATTTATTTAAATCCGATGTTCCTGGAGAAAGATGACCGAAGAATCTAAAGATTCCAATAAAGAATACGTACAATCGTATGTAGATACTCTCTGCTTGATCTTGAGCTTCCAGAAGAGAAGAGGAAACTAAACGAAGACGAGATCGTAAGTTTATGCTCTGAGTTTCTCAACGCCGGCCAGCAACGTTACAATAAACTTGTAAACTCTTAATGATCTAATAATGGCTACTGATCTAATGGTTGTGGTTTGTGGTTTTAGTTTTCCAAAAATCTATTTTATACACATTCAAGAGTTTGATAAAAAAATATATAGTTTTCCTAAAAAGTAGGGAATCTAGTTGTAACTTCAATTTTCTGCTAGAAGCCTACTACAACTGGAAGAAAGTGTACAATGTGGGTGAATGATAATAACAGGAGTAGGTGTAACATTTGTGGAATGTTTCTGGATACACCAAAAAGAGTTTTAAACAAAGAAGAGGCGAGGCCGAAAATTAAGTGATGAAAGGAGGTTAGTTAAAGCAGCTTTGGGTAAAGAGAGATAAGCGTGAAGCCATATATATTGACAATTGGGATGGTGTATTGTTTTTAGAAAACGAGTCAGCATTTGATATCCTGTACTGTATTGCATTGCGTTCAAGCTCATGGATGATAAAGTGGCCGGCTCACAATGCGGGCTTCCTACATGGATTTTAACGTAGGCTTCGTCCCTCCTCCCTATATCTTGACTTTAAAAGATGGATGAGCAACTGATCAGCGACTGACGTTTGTTTGGCAGACGGTGCTAAAATTGACAAGGCATCAACTGGAGATCGAGAGAGCTTCTACTGGAAGATGTGACCCGAGTTCTTATAACCTCCTACTTAGTCCTTAGTTCTCAGAGGGTCTCACTTGCTATACTTCAAAATTGTATATTTTTTCTTGGTTTGTAGAAGACAATCCCAATCGAAAGAAAAGATTACAGTTCCAACTTAAATATAGATGTGCATCAAAAGTACCAACATCTGGGAACCACAAAACGATCTCCTTGGTTGCACGATCCATGAGTCATTCCGATGGAAATTGCAAAGTTGCCTCGGATGCATGGTTCCAGCCAGGTGGTTTTGTGGCTCCAATGATGTTTGAAACAACAGCCTCGGAGACAACAAAAAAGTTGCAGCCCTAAACTTGTGAAAGAAGAATGAATTTTAAACTTCGGCTATTATTGGGCCTCCGCTCATTATTATTTCAAGGCCCAATAACTGAATCTCCTCCTCTCGTCTTCTTCTCTCTCTCGCTGCTCTTCCTCCCACAGATCGAAACCATGAATCCTGAGTAGTAAGTTCCTTTCTCATTCGGCACATACTTGGGTCGAAATTATCTCTGTTATATATGATTCTCTGCGATTACATCTAGAAACCTAGGGTTTAATTAGCGTCACTTTCTGTTTTGGGATTTGCAGCGACTATCTTTTCAAGCTCCTGCTTATCGGGGATTCTGGCGTAGGCAAGTCTTGTCTTCTTTTGAGATTTTCTGTAAGTTTTTTTCTTTCTCAGAGATCAAACACTGTAGCTTTTCTACATTTGCTCATGTGGCTTTGAATAACTCATGTTTGTTGTTCTGCTTCAGGATGATTCTTATGTAGAAAGTTACATTAGCACTATTGGAGTCGATTTTGTAAGTTCATGTTTTTTTGTTTCTTGTGGCTGATGATGCCGAGGCTTTGATCTGACCTTTTTATATCTCTTCTTCAGAAAATTAGGACTGTGGAGCAAGATGGGAAAACGATTAAGCTCCAAATTGTATGTAACTCTTTTTACTGCTGTGTAAACGATACAAACTTGTTAAGTTTATAGCTCTACGTATCTTTCCCTTAATTATATCTCCCGTCTTCATATCATATGAATCATATGATATAGCACACATTTCAACCAAGGTTGCTGTTCTAGCTTCTTATTTAACTACTCTCAGTGGTGACCTTATATTTACTTGTCCCTCTTCACTTATTTTCAGTGGGACACTGCTGGTCAAGAACGGTTCAGGACTATCACTAGCAGTTACTACCGTGGGGCACATGGAATTATTGTAAGCTACCCCTTATCTAGGTTTCTCTCTGTTGGTTTCTTCCCTTGACTCTTTAGTTGATTTCCTAACTTAGTTCTTGAACCTGGTAGATTGTCTACGATGTCACAGATCAAGAAAGCTTCAATAATGTCAAGCAATGGTTGAGTGAAATTGATCGTTATGCTAGTGACAACGTGAACAAACTCCTGGTCGGAAACAAGTCTGATCTTACTGAAAACAGAGACGTTCCTTATGAAACGGCCAAGGTATATGCCACTTGAACCCATTCTTTCTTTTCCGACTCTCCTTCTCAAGTTTTGAAAGTTATCAAACTGTAAAGCTAATATTGCTTTCCTGATTATTCTGAAATATTACTAGGCTTTTGCCGATGAAATTGGGATTCCTTTTATGGAGACTAGTGCAAAAGATGCTACAAACGTAGAACAGGCTTTCATGGCAATGTCTGCATCCATCAAAGAGAGGTATTTATCCTACTTCATCCTTTATAAGTAACTGCAGTTAATATGCTCATAAGACTCATTAGACCTGATAGAACTTTTGTGAAGCCATCATCTCATTTTTTAAGTGTTTATATAGATCTCAGCAAGTGATCACTGTGTAAGTGAGCTTGCAGTGAAATAACTAAATGACTGTGTTGCTTAAAACATGTATCGGAAAGGGAAATAAATGGAACTTTTCGAGCAGACTGATGTTGACCTTGCAGTGTTCAAATTGAAAATTCAAGTAGAAGCTTTATTTTTCGTTGTAGTTAATCAATTTAAAGAGTGTGCGTTTGTGTGATATATGAGAGAAATTGATCTGTGGTTTGGATGCAGAATGGCAAGCCAACCAGCTGGGAATAATGCAAGACCGCCGACAGTGCAGATCAGAGGACAACCTATGGCTCAGAAGAACGGCTGCTGCTCAACTTGATTGAATTGACCAGCCTAGCAATATCCTTTCCAATCTTAGAACAAGTGTTCCTTCTTTTGACTAGGCTCCAATTCACTTGTACTTGGTTGTGTCTTGTCTGTAATTAAGCTCCCTTGGTTGGTTATTATTCTGTTTTCCACGTTTCCTATTTGGTTTACCTCATGATGAGGTCCTCATCCTTGGCAACTATCTCTTCCCAACATTATTGTTTTTCATTGCTGCCTTTAGTGGTTTTCTGTGGGTATTTGCTTAACAATATTCAACCCTTGTATGACTCGATTTAATACCCACTTTTTTTCTTTTTCTTTCCTATTATCAAATGTGCTCATCCATCATTGACAACAAATTTTGTCACAGGAAATTGAATATGTATAATCAAATTTTGTTTTTTTTTTTTTTATTGATTGAGACTTGAAAGAATCCAATATCGAGAAAGTATAGTCACCAGTGATAATTCGATCTTTGATAGAGATGCAAGTGTTCCACAACACTCTCCTGGGAAGTCTCAAATGCGCCCTCATCCACCTGATTGCATCGTTCAATGTTAGAAGCTGCAAGTTTGACAGATGCTCTTCTGAGGTTTAGGAAAGTTTCCTTACAAACAACACCCAAAAAGCCATGAACAAGTACTTACCCAAACAAGAAGAGAAGGCTTCCTTTGCCCCTTTGCTTGCAAAGCTTATATGCTTTGATGTAATCCGAATGCACACACGAATACAATTGATTAAATCATTTCCGTTTAACAGAGTCTCTGCTCATATTCATACGAGTAGGTATAACATCCGAAAATACATTACATACATACATGCATATATCCATCCGCATTCTGCACAAACAGAGAGTTGGGTGAACAAAATTTACTGTTGGTTGCGGCGAACGAGGCGTTCCAAATGGTGGAACTGAGCCTTCAAGGCAGCGTGGTCTTGTCGCATCCTCTGCAAACGATCCTCAACCATCATAATCTCTTCCCTCAGGAAATGCATTCTCTTCTCCAACCACCCCAAACTCTCCCCATTTCCACTGTACTCGTCGTACCTCTCATGATACTCCACTTGCCCCCCTCCTCCTCTCTTCAGTAGCACCACTATCGTCACCTGTCCACACTTCCACCTTATTATTAGCTTCTTTTCTCTCTCTCTCTCTCTATCTCTCTTTCACCACCAATTTATCCAAAAAACACATACCTGCATCAGTAAGATTACTGCAAACGCTAATACTATAACCTGCCTTGTCCCGCTTTGCCTCTTCAAAAATGATGTCAGATTCACCCATGCTTCCTTTAAGCTTTTTTTCACTACCCCTTCTCCCACCATTTCCACCTTCCCCTCCTCTTCACATTCAGATACTCTTTCTTCCTTTGCTGCTAGCGGTGCACCATCCTCAATCAACTTATTCCCTGTAGAATATGGTTTCAGCCAGCTTTCTTCACGGAAAAAGCTTCTATTAATCACCAGTCAACAACACTAACCTTCTTGGTTCTCCAGCTTCTTCTGCTTCAACAGTTCATGTGCCTTTAAAGATAATAATAAATAAGTATATATAGAAACTTGATTAAATTCCTGCAGAAACTGAAAGAAACAAAATGTTGACCCTATGGCCCCTGATCAAGTACCATTCTTATCCAATGTGCATAAGCTTCTCTACATTCTTCCAAAGTAGACTGCACTATTTTCCCTGTAAGAACTCATAGACGTCAAGCCAGATTCAACAACCATCAAATTCAACAAAGCTGAAACATTTCCAAATCTATAAGAACGAGATTCCGCAGCAAACACTCTTGAACTATTAGTTGAATTTCTTCATTGATTGGAGGCAAGGTGAAAAAAATCAAGGACAAAGAAGAGTAAATTAGGCTTAACAAACCTTTCCACACTGTTCTTTTAGCGAAGGCCACATTGACATAAACATCCAATATACAACCTTCTATCGAGTCTCTGCAATCTCTTTTCAAGTCCCAGACTCCCTGGAATCAGCCAAAGGTTAAAATTTTCACAGGTAACACACATCAACCAGCAAAATACTGATCGCATTTGATGTAAATTTCCCCCTACCTCTACCGTAAAATAATCTGCATAAGGCACATCGCTGATCTCCTGTGATGTTTCAATAACCAGATGGCTAGTAAAGGAAATTACAATATTAGACAACAGAGGATAAGCATGCATGAGTTCGGACTAGCTTTGCTTTGACGATCTAGAATAAAACCAAAAAACAATAGAAAATTTCTATACCTATCTCTGTACATCCGAAATTTCTGTGACTCCTGGCAGCCACCAAACTTTGCACCTTTAAACGAAAGCCGAGAGTCATGCATACACATATTTGATATAAACCATAATCTAGTACTGTTTATCTATAGGAAAGAAGAATATTACCAAAATAAATTTTTATCGGATGTTGAAATGATACATTGCGGGTGTGTCCAAGCTTTTCATGAGGTTGCCAAGAGGTACACCTAAACTCTGCAAGTATAAAGATCTCTTCTGGTTAAAAAAACACTGACAAAGAGAGAGAAATCATACGAAAACAGCTAAACACAGGAGCAAAATAATTCCATCACTTATAGCTTTACCTTTGTCTCCACAATTTTTATGGAAAGATTCAACAAAATTGACAGCACCATCTGAAAAAAACAATCTAAAGAACTCTTCTACTGGAATCTGCAAACATAAACTAAACTCTATTTAGGTACATATGAAACTTCTGCATCCAGTTAATGTTTATATTCTCATAAATTTGAATGAGAATGGTTCCATAATTTCGTCAAGCTGATAAGACAAAGAACGTGACATTACCGAAAACTTTGCCTCTGCTACCTTTGTAAAATCAGATGACACTGCATGCAAGGAACACAAAATTTGTGTGGTGATTACAAATGAGAAGAAGAAAAGAGATCACAATAACCAAAAGAAATAGATGAGAGATCATGTACGCATAAACGAAATAACCGGTTCAGTAACATAGGATCTCCATACTGAGTGCAAGCTTGTTGGGATAAACTGAGAACTAGTGCAACTTGTGAAGTACCATCAAAAGACAAGAACATAAAAGGCTAAGCTACCCCATTCCGATAGGCCTTATATAGAAAAACCATTAAGAGACCGTTTCCCCCACTGACCATTTAAATTTGAAACAATTTATATTGCAAAGAAAACAAGCTAAAAGATAGACACATAATGACATGCACCTAGAAACAGCAAGAAGTTAACTGATCGTCCACTTTAAAGGAACCAGCACTTCGGTCTAAAGTTAGGAGAAACCCAAGCGTTTGCATTGTTAATACTCTTTACCAACAGGTTACCCCAGCAAAAAAAAAACCGTTGAATTTACTGAAAACACTAGCATTCACATCCTCAAACAGTTGACTTGAAAAAGAGAATCTACCACACTACCCAAACCCACCAAAAAGAACTAAGGCAAAAGCGAGGAAGGAGTTTAACTACATTTAGGTGCATCTATATCTTCAGGTTTCCAGTTGAAATTATTGGCCGCCACGACATCTACATCTGGTTCTGCATGCCGTTGAACGGATGAAGGTGGAAGGCCATTCTGACTAATGACAGGAAGACTGGAAATGCCGGAAAGATGAAGATTTTCATCCCTGAGAAGGAAATATAGTGAGGGATAAAGCAGTAAGAAACAGAAAGAAGGAAGACCATATGGAAGAGAAAAACGTACCGCAATGGAATATCTAGTTCATTGGCCAAATCCATGGAACTGAGTGCCCTTTTAACAAGTCCATCATTTACCTGGTTTTGGGACTCAGATAAAAAATCCTGAAGAGATAAGCTAGGAAAGATGAGCAAAAAGGAGCTGGAAAGGAGGCTGAAGCAGTAAATAAGAGTGTGTATGCACCTGCTGTTCGGTCACCTGAATCTCGCCTTGTGCTTTGACAGGACTACCATATTCCAACCATCCATCATGGATAAGCTTGAAAGCTTCATCACGGGAAAGAAATGATGCAAAAAAGTACTGCGAGAGAATGCGGTACAAAGATGAGCAACCAAAATCGAGTTCAGACAATGAATAAACAGCAAGAGCGAAGTTGAGGTACCTTCTTCCCTCCAGCTAAAATCTCAATGGCATTAGGAAAAATACCAGCAGTCTTTGCTCGTTTAACACAAGATATATCCGCAAATGGAATAATTTTCTGCAACAAGAGTTCCGATCAATATTGAATTGTTAAAAAAAAAAAAAAAAAAAAGTGAGTGGAGGACAGCAAGTATGGTACCTTGGTCTCATAACCAAAGATGTTGGAGTAAAAGCAGATATAATGGATGAAGAGGTACATATGACCCTGCAACAGAGGAAGGAATTGATTACAAGATTTGTTAGTATTGAAAAAGATCCAACTCCCCAAAGAGAGATAAAAAAAAAGTACCTGCATAAGAATACTCTCCTGACAAGCACAGTTAAAATCTTGAACAAGGATCTACACAAATTCGGAAGAAATGGTGTCAGAATTTCTGTGGAGAAGAAGTTCTGTGGAATTCAAGACAGAGGCAATACTTACTTCGTCAGCTGGAAGCCGAAATAATTGCCGATACTCTTCACTCTTCGATATGACTTCAGACTTATAACGAGTAAGAAGAAATCCAGATCATAAACAAGGAGCAAGTTTAGATCGAAGAAGAAAGAATTCGTCAGATACCTACCTGATTGTCCCCACCACGACTGGGGCTCGGAGAAGAACTGGAAGGGTCATGGCGATCAGGTGATCCCTCGGGGGACGATGGTGGGAGATCGGAAACGACCTCCGGAGACGCAGACGACTCAACCTTCATGGTTCCCCGAGGAAGGTCGACGCTCCCCGAAACGGAAGCAGTAGAAAGCATCGCCATGTTAGAGAGAGAGAGAGAAAGGGGAAAGTGTTGTTGTTGCTGTTTGGCGGTGCGACGTACGATGTCAACGTCAACGGCCATTAAGTCAAAAACGATCGGTCTCTTTGGGCTCACTTTTTTGGCCCATTTCTTACCCCTTGTATTCAATTTGGCGGGCCACCGGTGGCCCATTAGTTAGGTGCCGTTTCTGCTTATGCAATTAATGAGAAAGTGTGTCTCCGCAAATAAGGGAAACCACTGGACTTTGATAATGATTTATAACTCTTCACGGTCAAGTTAATCAATCCTCAAATTTTAAAGAGAAGCACTTGGAAATTTACATGATACACTAATGAGAGCTTAACTAAAAAAAAAAAAACTTGGCCATAATCAGTTGATGGAGTAGGAACGAGAACAGACAGTCTGTAGGGATTCAGTGAAGAGACATGAGAAGCTGGTCAAGGCCTGGAATACATTGGGCAGGCCGGTTTGCAGATTGT